TCAGACACGGTAGTTAGGGCCCTTCGTGGGCTGATTCGAAAGCATAGACCCACTATGATCTTTCTGTCTGAGACTAAAATGAAAGATCATAGGCTTGATGGTATTCGAAGGAGATTGGGTTATTCTAATGGTTTTCATGTTCCTCCGGTTGGCAGGGCTGGTGGATTGAGTCTGTGGTGGCAAGACACGCTTAGGGTTATTGTCCTCTTTTCCTCGAAGCATGTCATTGATGTTTGTTATTATCTGGAGGAGGTTAGTTCCTGGGTGCGAGGTACTTTTGTTTATGGCACTTCCTATCGTGCCGAAAAGGTGGAGTTTTGGAATTGGCTCCAAAATTCGTTTGGCCCGACGGATATCCCGTGGCTTTGTGGCGGGGATTTTAACGAGTTTATGTGGGATTCTGAAAAATCAGGAGGAACCAGCGTTTTGTATAATATACCTGCCTTCCTTAGTAATTTTTTGTTCGCGGCGGAGTTGATGGATCTGGGATTCATAGGGCCTAAATTCACTTGGCGTGGGATAAGGGCTGGGCAACTTATTGAGGAAAGGTTGGATCGGGCAGCTTTTAATGTTAGGTGGCAGGACCTCTGGCCCAATTCTGTGGTCATTCATGAAACGGCTATTGGTTCTGATCATTGGCCAGTGGTGGTTCAATCTAAGCCTCCGTTCCGAAAAGGTAAAAGGCCTTTTAGATTTGAGGCTTTCTGGGCTAAGGAGGCAGATTGTCGAGATGTTGTGCAAAAAAGCTGGAGTTTGCAAGGCAAGGATAACTGGTTGGATTCGTGGCACCATAAACTCTCGGTCTGTAAGTCTTCTTTGATTAATTGGAGTAAGTATTCTTTGATTAATTGGAGTAGAAACAAGTTTAAGAAAAGAGGGCTGGAGATTGAGGCTTTGGTGAATCATCTGGATAGTCTGCAACTTAACTGGGCGGACAATTTGGAAGAGATAAAGGCTATAACAAATAGAGTTGACCAATTGCGAGAACAAGAGGAGATGTATTGGTTACAGCGATCTAGGGTGAAATGGCTTTAGGAGGGTGATGCGAACACGGCGTTCTTCCATAGTACTACTCTCCATAGGAGGAGGCTTAATAAGATGGCCAAATTTAAGGGAGATGACGGGCTTTGGGTGGAAGATGAGAATCAGGTTTTGGGTCTAGTGGAGGATCATTTTCAAGCCTTGTTTACCTCGGCAGGCAGCAGGGATTAGGGAGATACGATTGATTGCATTGAGCCTTTGGTGTCGGACGGGATGAATGCCGAGCTTATTAAACAGGTGTCCGATAAGGAAATTAAGGATGCTGTTTTTCAAATGGGTGGATTGAAAGCTCCGGGGCCGGATGGTTTCCAAGGTCTCTTTTTCCACTCCTAGTGGGATATCATATTGGCGGAGGTGAAGGGCTTAGTGGGGGACTTCATGATGGGGGTGGGCATCTCTAAGAGGATTAACTCTACGCATATTGTGTTGATTCCTAAAGTTGCAAGTCCGGAGTCAGTGGCTTAGTACCGGCCTATCAGCTTGTGCAATTTTTCTTTTAAAATTCTTTCGAAGGTTTTGGCCAATCGGATGAAGCCGTTGTTGCCGGAGTTAATCTCGCCTATGCAGAATGCTTTGGTTACGGATAGGCAAATCCAAGATAATATTGGGATTGCTCACGAATTGTTCCATTTTCTGAAGCTGCGTAAAGCTAAGCGGAAGTTTGAATTGGGTATTAAACTTGATATGCACAAGGCATATGATCGGGTTGAATGAGACTTTTTATAAGCGGTTTTGCTGAAGATGGGCTTTTGTAGGGGCTGGACGAACTTGATTATGAATTGTGTGACTACTGTGGAGTTTGCTGTGTTACTAAATGGGAAACCAGGGCATCGGTTTACCCCTTCTCGGGGAATCCGGCAGGGTGACCCTCTATCACCTTATTTGTTTCTCTTAGTTAGTGATGTTCTATCCCGGCTAATCCAGCGAGGTGTTGAAGATGGGCTGCTCACTGGAGTTAGAATGAATCTGTCAGGTCCTACTTTATCGCACTTGTTCTTTGCGGATGACACTTTAATTTTTCTCCAGGCTAATTGCCAGAATTGTGAAAATATCATGCATATTCTCAACAAGTATTGCTTAGCTTCGGGACAACAGGTTAGCCTCCGCAAGTCCAGTGTGTATTTTGGCAGAAATGCACCTCCTCAGTTGCGTGCTCAACTTAGTTCCATCCTCGGAATGAATTCGGTTTCTGACCCGGGGGATTATCTCGGTCTTCCAGCTATTTGGGGGAGATCTAAAAGACAAAGCCTTGCTTACTTGAAGGGCAGAATGCTTGGAAAAGTTCAGGGATGGAAACAGTCTTCCCTTTCTCTTGCGGGTAAAGAAGTTTTAATTAAAGCAGTGATTCAAGCTATTCCGTCTTACCCTATGAATCTTTTCAAATTCCCGAAGGCTGTGTGTAAAGACCTGGACTCTATTGCTGCTCGATTTTGGTGGGGAGATTCTGAAGCCCGGAGGAAGATCCATTGGATGAGTTGGGATCAGTTGAGTCGACCTAAGTGTGATGGAGGTCTAGGATTTCGGAACTTCCAGGATTTTAACGACGCTTTGCTTGTTAAGCAATGTTGGTGGCTTATTCATAATCCCAACTCTTTATGGGCTAGGACTCTTAAGGCCCGTTATTTTCCTTACTCCTCCTTCTTTGATGCTAAGCTTGGGAGTCGGGCCTCGTGGGCTTGGGCTAGCCTGTTGGTGGGGCGGGATATCCTCAAAGCTGGTGCCCATTGACAGATTCTGAATGGCAGGGATACTAGACTTTGGATTGATAGATGGCTGCCTTCTCTCCCTCTTGGGCATCCTGTTCCCCGTGGTAATATTCCTGTTACTGTGAATATGAAGGTTTCCTCCCTTATAAGGGAGAGTACCGGATCCTGGGGTATCGAATTCTTACGCCCTTTCATTTCAGATGAGGAGATCACTGCTATTCAAGACACTCATTTGGGAAATTTTTCTACCTGTGATCGTCTGATATGGCCTCTGGAGAAAGGGGGCTGTTACTCAGTTAGATCGGGCTACCACTGGCTTCACTCTCGGCGGCTGGGGGTGGGAGCATCTACCTCTTCAGATGCTTTGTTTTGGAAGGGTGTTTGGAAAATTGATGCTCCTCCCAAAATTCGTAACTTCATCTGGAGAGCAATCAATGAGATGTTGTCCACAATGCGAGGTTTATTCTTGAGACGATCGACCTCCTCACCTGTTTGCCCAATCTGTAAATCTCAGGAGGAATCAGTAGTTCACATGTTGCTGCTTTGTCCTTGGGTGTCACCAGTGTGGTTTGGGGGTCAACTCGGGCTTCGGTTTTTTAGGAATGGGCCGTCTTCCTTCCTCGGTTGGTTCCAGGGTCTTTTTATTGGGGGACCCTATAAAAAGGATAGGTCGAAGATCCTCTCGGTTATTGCCTTTTCCTGTTGGCACATTTGGAAGGCTAGGTGCAATTTTGTTTTCAATGATGTGGCGGTTGTCCCTTCCCAGGTGATGCATGCTATTTCTTTCTCTGTCGCTTCCTTCTGGGAGGCTAGGACTCAATGCTTCCAAAGAGTCACTTCTAATATTGCTGATCTTGGTCTTGTTCCTCGTTGGTGTCCCCCGCCTAATTCCTTCATTAAAATTAATGTGGATGCTAGCTGGTCCCCGGTTGATGGCAAGGCTTGTTTGGCAGCAGTGTTGCGGGATCATCTGGGCCAGTTTGTGGCGGCTCATAAGATCGCTGTTGTGGTGCAGTCGGCGGTGTTTGCGGAGGCTTTGGCTTTGTTGAGGGGGTGCGAGTTAGCTGCCAAGTTGGGGTTTCGAAGGGTTATTGCGGAATCAGATTCTTTGGAGATTGTCTCTTCTTTACGGGGGGATATTTCAAAGGGCAGATGGGAAGTGTTCCCTATTTTTCAGAATATTTTGAGAGTAGGGGTCTCTTTTCAGGACTGTCGCTGGTCTTGGGTTCCAAGACTGGCCAACCAATTGGCGGACCTTTTGGCGTCGAGGAAGAATATGGAGATGTGCGATCAATTTTGGGACCGACGTCCCCCATCTTCATTGGTTCACATTCTCGATAAGGATGGCCTTCCTTGCCCCCCGTAAGCGTTCAGTGCTGTGATGGTGTGTTGGGACAGCGTTGTGCCTTTGTGGCAGCGTCTTGTTGGTGTCCTGCATTCTGCCCTTCTTTGTTTTGCTTTTTTCGTCCCTTTGTGGACGTTCCTTGTGTTGTTGGCTGTTGCCCTGGTTGTTTATTCCAGTCTTCCAAAAAAAAAAAAAAAAAACTAGGTGTGTGGAATTTTGGGAACCGTCGAAGTTACGTTTATGAGAATTCTTTACTTCCATTGTGGGCTCAGCGAAGTTCTCTTGCTTATGGCTGCCCTGTCACATCCCGGTCCGAGCTCCCACCACATCCTAGGCTCGACTTCGCCGTAGCATAATATTGTCTGTTTTGGGTCCCGATCACTCCCTCACAGTTTTATTTCTGGGAACTCACATGAGAACTTCCCACTGGGTCACCTATCCTGGGATTGCTCTCGTACGAACTCGCTTAACTTCGGAGTTCCAATGGAACCCGAAGCCAGTGAGCTCCCAAAAAGCCTCGTGCTAAGAAGAGGTGGGCATGTACATATAAAGCTTAGAGGATCTACTCCCCTGGGCGATGTGAGATGTTACATGCCCTGCTTTCTTCTGATCTCCCAAGACAAAAACTTGTTTCTCTGCCTGATCTTTCCTTTGTGAAAAGAGAAAGAGAGAGGGGAGCACAATGTGAAAAGCCTTTACAACTATAAAGGGTATCTTCGTAACTTAAACTCCATAGAAAAAGAAGTCAATGATGTCATCTTCCATATGTATTAATTTTGTCTCTTCTTAAAATGTTTAAAAAGTATTGTTTCAATATAAAATGAAGTATTAAAAGTATACTCTATGTGTAATTTTTTTTCAAAAACAAATCTTTATCATTATTAAATATATTTAAAAAATAAATTAAATATCAAACAATTCCATTATTTTATTTTCTATTCTTTAACTTGATACTAGTTTTTGTGATTGGTAAGAAAAATTGGTTTGCTCATCTCAGTTACAATAGCTCCACCTTTCCCAATTAGGCAGCCAATCGTGAGGTTGGAATAAGTAAACGGGTTGTGATGAGACAATTCCTAAATTTCTTTCTACTTTTTCGCTGCATCTGGGTTGCAAACCCACTGCTGCTTCTACAGATGCTGAGAATGTGTCTTCAAATAACTGCTTTGCTAATACAGTATTAAGCAATCATCTCTTTCAGTAGCTCAACCATTGACTTTAATGACAGCCCCAGAACCTGTCTGATTTGGTTAATTATGGTATACCACACTTTCCAATCACACCTCCGATATATGCAGTTGGACAAAGTAAGCGAATAGAAAATTCTTTTTGAGAGTGCTTCATCTCTTGGAGCCGAGTACAAGAAGCGTTAACTGTCTCCAAAATCTCCCATGTACTCCCCTCCATAAGGACCCATCGTTGGAGCAATTCCCATCAGTCTCCAACATCACCTTTGTACACCGTTGTTGGCATACTCTGACTGCAAATGAGAACTGTGGAGCAAAAAATAATCAAGTAAATTAGGTGACATGTGGACTTTAAGGTTAAAAGGACAAAGTTAGTTTCGAATCACACCGGAATTCCCACACGCATGCAACGGACAATAATGGCTCAATTAAGGAAGAGTCAAAGGTGATCAAAATGATATTTATTTAAATCTCTCTCATCATTCCTCATCAAATCCTTATTCAAAAGGTAACTCCCAAAACTTCCAATTTAATTTGGGATTACTTACCATGTTAATTGCAAGATATTATTTCACATAATATCTTGCAATTATTCTCCAATTACAGCATATATGGCCATCAACTATTCTCTAAATAGGGTCGGCCACTCTCCTATAAATAGCCCTATTATCCCACTAAAAAGTGAAACCATTTGCTACCCACAAACTCCTAAACACATTCTTTTTAGAATTCTAACTATGGCATCAGAAATTCTTCGGCCAAAGCCCCCTATTCATCGTGGGCCCGTGACGCTTTTAGCCTTAATCTTAGGTGTTATTATTTTGCGGGTGCATTTTTCGTCAAAGGAGAAGATGGCGGAAATATGCATCCACAAATTGGCGCTTTCATTGAGAGTTTGATTCACACGCTTGAAGAAAACTCTTGCATTCAAAGTTTCTATTTCTCATTCGTTCATAAATTTTTCATACATTCTTATTCCAAGAATATTTTAGTTCTTTGAATAGATGTAGGAGACAAATACAAATGGGGGAAATTTGGAAACCAAAACGAATGAAACTTACTATGATCTGGATCAAATGATAGAGGACGCGATGTAGCCTCACCACGACGATCCACGAGGCTTAACGCAATGACAAGATGAGCAACTTTGCCACCACGAAACACCACCACCATGGCAACCACGAGGACCACCGTGGCAGTGGGGAGTGAGCCAACTCCATGGCAGTAAGCTTACTGAGAGTAGGGAGTAGCTGCCCTAGCAACCCAATAGGAGGCCCAAGTAGCCCATGCTGCAAGGCAGCCGAGCCAGGACCGTCATGAGCCGGCCCAAGCTGCTGCCCCAACAACGCAGACCTAAGGTGCATTGCAGGCTCGAGCCTCGCCAACAATCTTCTCAGCTCAGGTAGTAGCCCTAGCAACGCAGATCCAACACACTTTCAGCGCCGCACTGCATCTTCGTGCCCCATACATGGCTCGGCTCACTTCCACAGCCCAACCTGCTCCCATGGTCCACTTGGCAATCATGACTGATCCAAGATCGGTTTAACAGTCTTGGCTTTAGATTTCAGGATAAACGATTGAACCGGGAGTATTTTCACCCCGAGTTTTTACGGATTTGACTATCTTGGCTCAAAATTTTGCACACGGAGTCCACTACACTTCTACCACATATGGAGAAACCTATCATCCAAGCTCTTTCATCCTACATGACGAACAATATTTATCTCGACAAGTCATAGAGTTGACAAGCACCCTCGCGCAGTAGACAACCTTGGTGAATCAGCTTTTGCAATGTACCGAGATGCAGTGTGCCTCATCGAGGTGTCTCGAAGCAGGACAAGAGCAAACGACGAAACTCTCCAACAGTGTCCCGGCAAGCAGCCATTCAACCAGCCACGAACCAAGCATTCTGGAAATGTACACTCCCGCTTAGGTCTTCGGGATATCGTATGCTCTTATTTTAGTGCGTGAAGGAGTGTGCACTCATAATTAAGCCCACGGACGAGCATACATTCACGGTTGAGGCCACATTCTAATTATCAACATGGAAAATCTTCCAGGTAAAATGTTCATTCGTAGCTAGGTCGGCAAATAGTATTATTAACCTCACATCGGAGTAGGCAGTACAACATACAGAAAGAATCAGTCACTCAATCTGGCTTAAGTTCAACCGGTAGCCTACAAGTAACCCGCTCGCCTGCCAAGAACGTACCACATGCATCACAGTCGCGTCATTGATGAGCCGAGCACAGGGAAGAGCAGACTAGACCAACAGGTCACGACCATGGGTAGCCGGAAGCTCCGTTGCCCTAGCAGAGGAAAATTCAGGAAAAAGTTGAGAGACTCCCGACCAAACAATTACGCGATTTCCAGCACAACGAAGCTACTAACGAGGCACTCCAATAAAACATGACCAACATAAGTAGGTCACATTTCATTGACAAGATTGAGCAAACAGAACCATCCCACATACACTGGTAGATACAAAGATTACTTTTGTTTCTACAAATGAAGCAACTCAACCTAATGGCGCGTTGGGGGCAGACGTGTACCAGAAGAATACACCAGCCCAACCTTTAAAAACCAAGGGCATGTCTTGTTTTCATCTCTCTAGAAAATTCAATATTGGAGTAGCACATCACCAGTAGCCGAGCACCACGAACCTAGTGGTCTAATTCCTCATGTTGCACATAACCTGGCCCAAGATGACCCCCAACTCTACACCTACAGTCGTGCTTACCTGCTCCATGACTCCCAACCGCCCTTAATCTGTCACTATGGCTCCTAACCGTGCTAATCTTGCCATACGGCTCTTAACTGCACCAACCAAGTCCACGGTACTTTAAACTTCGAAGCATCCAATGATGGAGTAGAATACGAGGCTTCACTATTGCTCCATTTTGCACAAAAAGCCACGTGGTGTTCCCTACTAATAGAAATTTGACATCTAACTCTTCTTTTATTCCTTTTTAATCAAATAAATTCTTAAAAGATGGAAGTCCAATAGTCAAACAAAAACTAAAGGATGTGAACTTCCCTATCAAGCTCTTCTGCAACTTGCTTTCGAATTCCATCATATTTCCTATTCGACTTTGAATTCAATCTTGTTTGCCCAGTACTCGCCCTCCACTTTTGAATCAAAAACTACAGTCTAAAAAGAGAGGAAAAAACTAACGGAGGTGAACTTCTAAATCCCAAAGAATGTTGCGCCCAAACCCGATTATCTTTCTCTCTCACGTTTTCATTTTCTAGGTGCTGGTAAATTTTGTGATGATTTCTAAATCAGTGAAAAGATTTGCAGAATGAGTAATTGGTAATGACGGTAAGAGTTGACGGTGGAAGTACAACTTCGTTAAATTAATTTGTTTTCCGTCGACTATTCAGCATCTTAATTTTTAAGAATTAAAGATATAAAATAATATTTAGATGTCAAATTTCAATTGGTGGGAGCACCACCTGGCTTTTGTACCAGGAACCCCAAAAAATTTCTCCACAGTGAGCTCGCATTTCTGTCTTCGAATGAATCAATATTGATATTATCAATAAATGGTTTTGGTTTGGGATACTATTCATGCAATAAGCATTGCTGAGAGATCCAATAAATGGTGTGGGTTTATAGTCACAATTTTAAAGAAACTTTGGTTGAACTGATTCTGTAAAAAATAGTCGAAGACTGGTTGAATTGATTATGCAAAAATGGTCGAGAACGGGTTGAATTGATTTTGCAAAAATGTTTGAGGACTGATTGAACTGATAATGCAAAAATGGTCAAGGACGGGTTGAACTAGTTCTGCAAAAATGGTCGAGACTTATTGAACTAATTATGCAAAAATGGTCGATGATGGTTGGGTTAATGGTCGAGGACTGATTTTGAATTGATTGATTTGCAAAATGGTCGAGATGGTTGAATTGAATTCTGATTGTTTGAATAATTGAAAAATTGGTCGATGACGGGTTGAACTAATTCTGCAATAATTGTCGGAGACGGGTTGAACTAATTATGCAAAAATGGTCGAGGACAAGTTGAACTGATTAAGCAAAATTGTGGGTTTAATTGATTCTGTAAAAATGGTTGAGAACTGATTGAACTGATTCTGTAAAAATGGTCGATGACTAATTGAACTGATTCTGCAAAAAAGGTCAAGATTATGTTAAACTAATTCTACAAAAATGGTACAAAAATGGTCGAAGACAGGTTGAACTGATTCTGCAAAAATGGTGGTAGACAGGTTGAACTAATTATGCGAAAAAGGTGGGTTGAATTGATTATGCAAAAATGGTCGAAAACTGATTGAACTGATTTTGCATAAATAGTCGAGAATGGGTTGAGATTATGGTACATATTAATTTTGTTGGAGTTATGAGGGTTGGCTTCTATAATAGCCCTAAAGCCTTAGGGGTATGATTGATATTTTAAAACATTGTTTCCATGTTTTTGGGCTAGACTTTAGTTGTTTTTATGTTTTTGCCTCTCATCGACTTATTTTAAAACAAGTGGAGTTCCTTAAAATATAGTGAATTTTTTTTTGTCTCTATATATAAAGCTCCTTTTTTTTATTGTTTAAATAATTAGTTATAAGGGTAAAGTTGTCAATTTATTAGCATAACTTTAACTGCAGGGGTTATGTGAAAGTGAATTAAAACGTAAGGGGGTGTTTGTGTAATGTCTCCAACATGAGGGGGTTTTGTGAAAACTCGATAAACCTCCAGGGTGTTAGTGTAATTAATCCATTTTTTAACACAAGTGTATCACCATCTGTATAGTAACACGTGATGCACTACCTCATGTTCCAAGCCCACTGAAAAATCTCTCGTCATAGTCATGTGTCACAATCTGATGCTACATGAAATAAAGGTAGAATGGGTAGGCTTTTGTTTCAATTGAACGTGGAGGAAGGGAATGAAAGTTGGGAGATAAAATCATCACCATCAGAAGGGTCAAATCGTAGCCGCTTCTGGAAATTGATTGCCCGACAATTGATTCCATATGATGCGCAGTGGCAGAGCTAATATGGAGTCATTGGTTGTCCTTGACTCCAACAACTTCAAAACCCCCATGTATGTTCGTTTGTATGTCGTATTTGACCTCTATAAATAGTTAAGGCAAACTAAATTACAACCTCTGCATCCTACTTCTATTTTTTTTTCTATCATATTTGTCTTCCTTTTCTCTCTTATTGTAGGAAATACTTCAGTTGAAAAGTCTTGACAATCTTCAACATTACTCCACTATATCCTACATCCACTCTTAACAAATCTTTACAAATAATAGTAGTTTCGACATATGTTGGCATAAACTTCAGGCA